ACAGCCCTAAGGATAACAAAGGTCAGTTAAGACAAAACAAGGCATACGTAATAATTCTTTTCTTCATGAATATTGATGTACAACCCCCGCAAACTTGGCACTGCCTCCCAGACCTTTGTAATCTTTTCTTACTAGGTACTGCGTGCTTCAGATATAAATACGTATACAGAAATCACAGCCCTAAGGATAACAAAGGTCAGTTAAGACAAAACAAGGCATACGTAATAATTCTTTTCTTCATGAATATTGATGTACAACCCCCGGCAAACTTGGCACTGCCTCCCAGACCTTTGTAATCTTTTCTTACTAGGTACTGCGTGCTTCAGATATAAATACGTATACAGAAATCACAGCCCTAAGGATAACAAAGGTCAGTTAAGACAAAACAAGGCATACGTAATAATTCTTTCCATTCTTATCTCTGGCATATACTTAATCAGTACTGGGAATTTAATTGCAAATACAACAGAAAATTTGAATAAAAAAATTCTGAAATTCTCACTGGTTCAGCTAAGCAAGGAAGTTTTATTAACTGCACATCTTAATGGCCCATGCTACTTTAATGCCCTGTATCTACAAGCAAGTTCTGAATATTTTTGTATAGATCACTCATGAAATGTATGGGTGACAATTTAATTTCTCCAAATGTACCCTGGGAACAAGTAATAATGTTTTTAAAAAATGTTATCTAGTAAAAAAATAATTTATGTGAACCAATAAAATATTTAAGTAATTTATGCATTTCCTGTGACAGCATATTCAAGAAATTAGCAGCATTAGGCTGCCATGTGCTATGTCTACATGCACAGTTTTATGTTTCAATGACCTGGTTATTATTAGTTTAACTCCTACTTCGAATGATTTCAGTTAACAAACCACTTTAATTTAGATATTCCAATTACTCATTAAATAGTCGTGGAAAAAATATTTGATGTGCCATTGTTTTATAACTGTGTTTCATGCAGTTATTCTTCAATGAAGATCAGCATCATACCTCTAAGAAGAACAAAAATAGGACCTTTCAATCAGCTCATATGCTCTAAATAATAACTTTTAGTGACTGACAAGTAAGGTTTAATTCTTCAACTATAACAAAGTACTTCTTCACAGATGAACTCAACAGCTGAATGTGCTTATAGGCCTTAAGAATATACAATGTTGTCACTATGTGATAGGTCTAAGTTAAAGTGTTTCAAAGTTCTTTAGTAAAAGGTTTATAAACAAGAGTGATGCATGATTACGCATCATTACCTCACCTGCAACTCTGATGTGCTGGAGTCGTGGCATGAGTTCACAGTCAAAACAACACATGGTGTCTCCAGTCAAGAAGCGCCCTTCATTCTTGCTCAGGTGGGTGTCAATATTTCTTAGTTGGTTGAGAAGGGCACGCTTTCGCTGGTCTCCTCCCTTATTAAGCACCAACTTGAATTTCTATGTTCACAAACATAAATAAAAAGTAAATAACCATACCTAAAGCATTTGTGTGGCAATTAAACAAAACAGTAGGTCTAGGTCAGATGAGGGAAAAACTTATTTGAAGATATTACAATCAATTTGACATACCAGCTGAATCGGAGATGATTACTGCATTGACAGTGAAATATAAAAACAAAAGACACAATAGTATAGTTAACTTCAAAAAGAGATTGGAATCACATATAAGAAATCATTAGTTTCAATATTTTGATAAATTAATAGTACAGTGAAGCCAGAAAATGCAGTGTTGAAGTTGAAGCGGAGGCACAGTGCATTACAAAATGATCTCCCTAGCAATTCTCAAATTTAAAATTTCATTTCTTCAATGAAGATTAAATATAAGAAGGATAGTATAATGCCCAGTATGGTACTACTATAATATAATCCTTATAGATTTAAACATGTCATATTTTCATTAATAATCAGTTTTTACTTTTTTGTTTTTAAAAGTTGTGCTGAGCTTCATTTATCGAGATCTACTGAAATACCCCTAAGTCGACGGCTTCTGGAGTGACCCCCCCTGTTGACAATCCTAGGCCCAATGCTAAAAGGGCTGGCTTGTGTGGCAGGTGTTAAAATACATGAAAATAATTACTATTTTCTATTTCTCCTATTTAAAAAAAAACTACATTTTATGTTATATTCAGTTCAGGTGTCTGATTTGATTTAAAATGAATGAATGTGTCTCAACATAATACTCTTATTGATCATGAAAAAAAATTACTTACACTGTACAAATCCATAATAACCGTTTCTGTCTCCTTATCCTGAACAAACAGATTATAGCCACCAGGTACACTTTTCATGATGTAACGTTCTATTTTATCATTTTCTAACACAGGGTTTCCTCTGTCTATCAAAATAGGTGGAGGAGTAGAGTCAAAGTTGGAGCGAAAGTCAGGTGGTGGTTTCAACATGTCCACTGTTGTAACCTGAAATATTCAGCTTGTTATAATTGGTATTAAAAAAAACACAAACATTTCACTGATCCTTATAACATTATTCATGCTTTATTGTGGTACCAAAACCATTTGAGTCCAAGAATTAAAAAATAATCTTTCAAGTAGGTTTTCAACATCATTTAATGAGAACCCTCACTGACACTAGGCATGGGGAAAAAAACAACCTTAACAGCATATTGAAAAAGAAATAACTACTAGATATACTTCCAAAGGGTCCCCAAAAACATTCTGTTTCAAGAGGAAATAAAACCAAAATTAAGAGTTACAACTATTATTTTTTGTTTTTGAAGTTCATATGTTATGCAGTGTACATAATTCTTCTCGTGATTTATGTCAGGTGCATGTTTTACTAACATCATGACAGTACAAACTGCAATGTTAAGCATCCCTTACATGACATCATTTTAGTGTCTACTGACTGACTGATGGACAACACATTACTGTATAGGTAACCCCTCCAGGCACCCTTCAGCCCCCTTTTGGGCAAATTATGTACACTAATTAAACCTTTCAAATACAAATACAATTTACACTTCAAAATTAAGATTTTGAACGTCCAATATATAATCAGATTAACTATTTTTCTTGCTTATTACTATATAAAAATTGCATTTTGGCCCTGTGTTTTCAACATTCTTT